ACTGCTATCAGTTCGCTACCATATCCTTCAGTGTCTCCAACCTACCAGTTGCGGCCCTTGAGACACCAACCCGGAAGACAGGAGACACCTATTCTGTCATGTCCCCGTGTCATCCGTTGACCTCCACTGGGTATCCTTCAGCCCGAAGAGGCTACAGCAAATAAAGCGCAAGGCGACAGTCGAGCATACACAACACGTACCCTAGCTAGTGAAGCTGGTACTGGATAGAAATAGATGGTCTGCGCAGAACTGAAGAGGTCGATGGCCGTTATCTGTTCGCTGGCACGGCAGAGCACAACTACTGCCTAGACAAGGTTCCGATGCGCGTAATGTTCCAACCTGTGCGTTAAAATCACCTGCAAGTACAACTATGTCGGAGCTTCGACTCAACCGAATGAGTTTGGTGAGTTTATCGTAGAAATCGTTCTTTTGTGTATCATGACTGCAGTTGGCCTGTTCATACGCTGACGATTAACAGACTCCTTTTGGTGTTGCTTCCCTTCCAGACAAATCGCATCGCACATAAGCGACTATTTACGAGGGTATCATTAATTAGAGGACTCAGTCCTGTTACTGAGTACAATACCTATCACACGCTGACCTACTGAAAGGGCTTTGTCGTCGTCTGATGTGTGAGGAAGTGCCTTGAGGAAAAATCTGGCGCGCCCAAATGGTTTATAGTAGGATCTTAAATTCGAATCTCCGATAACCGGAAAATATTGATCCCTAAGGATTCCGTTGTACCATAAAAGCCAGATAAGCTTGATGACCTAACTCCATCAGAATCCTCACGTGGAAGGCCCCCAGATTCAGTAATTGACGAGGCTTCGGAATCTGTAACCTTTTTCGTGGTAAATTACTCGCAGTGCTACTTGGCAACAACCTAGGGTTAACGCCACCTAAGTTTCTGGAAGGACGATCACTGGTCGGAAGAAGGAGCAGCGGGAGGGGGCTGGGTAAGGAAGACAAAGAATGAAACAAAGGGTGGGATATCTGGGCAGTAGCTTACTTATCACTACCCATGGCGTTTGATGGAATGGACAGCGCGATCCTCATTATCCTGCGCGACGACCAATGCAGTACGGTTATTTCATGTTTGTGTATGTATTGGGGTTAGACGAACGAGTACTGTTAATGTCCAGCCACTAAGCAGGAAAACGATTAGGGTTCTCGTCCAAAGCCTTTAGTTTCGACAAGGACCTAACCGTAAGGTAACGGGTGAGGCGAAGTGGAGGCCAAACTACTCGGATAGATTATTTCTCCACCATTTTTAACGACTATAAGGCGAATTCTAGTTGAGCCCCCAACCTAGAGGACCAGTAAACGACTTCGTCTGACCTCTACCGTTTGACCTTCCAGGGATGATTAGACCTTCGGCTCAACAAAAACCATTCTCTGTAGCTCGTTGGTTCAGAGGTGCAAAAACCATCACACTACGTCAATGTGCAGTCTCATCCTGATGGCAGTCATTATCCTTCATCAGTAAAAATGACCGCTGTGACTGCATGTGGACCGTGATATATGAATACGGCGGGGCTTCTCACGTAAGAAATGGACCATTTCTTGTGTAAGGATACTAAACGCTATGATACGCAACTACTTACTTGATTTGATCATTGTACTTTTCCGAAAGCTTCAATAAGGTAGGGGGTGGGTGTTTAGGGTTGCGGCTGATCACCCTTCCTCTGCACTTCGCGAAATGCTCCCATACGACCAAGCGTCTCGAATAGTCTCTGCGGAGAAAGCCCTACTTACTGCCTTCTTGTGGCGAAGGTTTTCCCTACCAAATAAAGAGGACGAGAAGCCGACATTCGGGGCTATAACCGAGTTGCTGGATTACTGGTAGTCTACCTGTCTTGTGCGGAATAGAAAACCAACTTTGCGCGCAGCGCAAGAGGCAAGTGTAGAAATAAAAGGGGACCAACCGAGAGAACTTAAATATAAACCCAGGAGGAAAAGAATTTGTTGAAAGAAGAGGCAGAGAACCAAAAATCAGTTGAGGAGAAAAGGAGACACGTTTAAGAGAGACTGAGAGGAGAGAAGTTTTGGAAGCATTGAAACACATGGTTGGTAGAATCCCATGCGGAGATTGGTCCAAGATCGGAGGCAAGAGAAGCACTAATGACATTATGATCGTGATCGATGTTGGTATTAGCTTGACGGAGTGTGGGGTAAGAAAGAGAACAATGGAGAGTGACATCATTGGCAAAGCAGTGAATGGGATTAGACGTTTGGGATAAAAGATCGCTGATAAATAAAAGAAAGAGGGTGAGCGAAAGTATGGAACCTTGGGAAACACTGACGTTCACAGGAAATGGCCGAGATAGGACTCCATCTACTCGGACGGAGATTATTCGCTTGCTGAGGAAGCCACGATACCAAAGACGGATGGAATTCGAACGTGGGTAATTTCCACAACAGACCTTCATGCCAAACGCGGTCGAAGGCCTTTGAAATGTCGAGCGAGACCATGTGGGTTTATCCA